GCTGAAGATGTCAGCTGAATACAAAAAGCTGTGGCTTTTCTGTTGGGGGAGGGGTGGTGTCATCTTGTCATCTTGGCACACTTTGGGCTCATTAATATAAATTAGCAATTGTTTCAATGCCACAGCCTATTTTAGTGTTATTACTGGACATGTGCAGCCCTTTAGAGTTCAGCATGTTTTTATGGCTGCTCCCAGCATGTCACAGAGCAAAAGCAACCTGGAGTCATTATGAACATCATGATGAGTTTAGTAAAATGTCTGTCAAGCTACCAGATCTGAACCCTGTAGAACAACTTAAAGATGTCGTAGAACAGGATCCTTTAGCTGACAAAACTCATGAACTTCTGTAACAGGATCATGTAAACAGCTGTTTACAACACTCTGCCACTCGTCACACCAAGAACTGATGCGGTTTTGAGACTACCTTACGATGAGGTCACACACTTGCTAATAAAATAAATGCTGAGTGTCTGTTTGGGTGACGAAAAGTGAAAATAAAAGTAGTAGATAAAAATATCTGTTCTGAAAGCTAACTTAAACTGGCATTATCTGAAATTTTAACCACGTGGGGATTCAAGAAACAGACTGGAACAATGGCACATCATCATCATCTTTCCGGGTCATATGATGAACTGCTGGCAGAATGATAGTCATATGTTTCAGTCACTCGTGTGTATTTGAAATCAGCATTTGCTTTCTTTTACCACAGGCTTTGGTCTCCACCAGCTCCCGAGGAAAACATCTGCTTTGGATTCATATTACAAGTGACCCAGTTCACTTGGTTATTTCACATTTCTTGATACGAAATATAGCAGTTATAATCACTATTTTTATATCTCTGATGACAGGTTGGGACACGTCACTTTATAAAGACGCGGTTTGATGACCATTAGAATAGTTTCCGGGGGGTTTTCAGGGCTAGCTGCACAGGCAGAGACCACCCTCACCAACTTCTGATGCGCATCCAGTCATTTTGCTCTACAAGCAGGCCTGAAATACCACAAACTACTCTTCAGCAACACTTTAGTGTTAAATAGATTAAAGAGCACTTCTCTTTAGGGCGACAACAGAAGAAATGATTACACCCAACGCAGACTTGTGAGAAATTTGAATACTTTCTCTGATGGGGACACACATCAAAATATCAGAGGTGTTGTTTTGGGAAGTTAAGAGGAGGAAGTGCTGCTGTGCTGTCTACAGCAGAGCGAGAGAGACATTCCCCGGTCTGCTGTCAGAGATAAGGAGCCAGCAGTGACATGTGCTATTCTTAGATCTGGTCTTCACCGAGGAAGGATGTAGAGGTCTGAACAGTAATCATTTGAATGCAGTCGGGAGGGTAGGGAGGCTGTGCTGCTCAGTACGACTCTATTCACGAGCTAAATCATGAGGAGGCATAATTACCATATGTGTGGCTGCAAATACTGGTTGTTTAGATTGTCAGGATTGCCTGTCACAGTTGTTATTAATATGGTCTATTAATTTTAGAAAATAGCAAAAGCTTGAATTGAATGGGGAAGATTAGAAAAACACCCATGAGTTTAATCAACTGCTCAAATAACCAATCTTAAAAAAAAAAACTTGTTAAATCAGCTTGTTTTGTCCAACATGATACATTTTCACAGTTGAGAAACCAGTTGTGCATTTTAGCTCAGAAAGGACTTAAAGAGTGAGTGATAAAAACAGATGTGGTACTATAAGCATGTGGAGTTGCACTTCCATAGTCGTCATCATCATTCATGGCTTGAGTCTGACCTTTAGGTCAAATGAAAGATAGGATTTCCCTCTGAAGCCTTTCTAGGTTTAAGTTACAAAAATAAAAGTCTATTTTGATTTTAATAATGGAAACACCTTTAATGCTTTATCTTTACCACTGCAGATCAGTCGCTGGGTTCTATTGTTTACTTCCATTTGGGCAACTATACTAAAATGATTTGCGTTTGTGATTATACTGCTGATCAGTTTCCAAATGACTAATACAAAATTTCTGGTTTATCAAACATAGGAAAAAGAGTAGAAATGTACCAACCCATAACATAAGCAACTTTGAACTAAGACAAGAGCAAGTCTTCACATTTCATCACTGATTCACACACATAGTCTGTAAATCACTCTTCTGCAAACCATGAGTGGGTTTTAATGAGTTTACCAGAGTCAGATTTCCTGCTGTTTGTATGTTTGATAGCAGTTTCATCTCTGTGTGTACAGCAGGGATGCTTTCTATGTACAGGACTGGGCTCAGGCTCTTACAGTTGAAGGCAGATGGTCCACCCTGACCGGAGCTTATACAAAGAGGAAGACCGGGCCTATTATGATTTAAAGGCTTCTCCGTGAGTGTGGAGCGACTCCAGTTAGGCTTCATAACGATGATTTAATGTCCTTTCAGTCAGAACAGTCATGAATAAATCAGCTTTGCCCGAACGATCATGGCTGAAGGTGATCAAACTGAAGACCTTATTGTACTGTAAATGCTTTGGCTCAGCAGCCTGCCAGCTGTGTCGGTGTATATATGTAACATATATCGATCAACAGTGGCAACATTGATCAGACTTTTGCTTCCGAGCTGAACAACACGGACATACAGCACATCATGCGCCAGTATGTATGGAGCCAACCAGACAAAAGGCGAGAGAAAATGAAAACAACAGCATGTGCGCAATGCATTCATCACACCATCTGTAAGCAGCTTATGCGCTGGCAGGCCTGGAATGGTTTTAAGAGGAAAAAAACATTACACCTGTGGGAGGTAAGAGACGTGCCCTCGGCAGAACACAGTGGACACTGTGGATACACTGGGATCCAAGCTCCTGTTTGACAAACGGAGGTAAACATGTCAGCACTGACCTGACGATGGGACCGAGCTGCAAGATGTGCAACAGCAGAATGAGCGGTCTGTCTCTGCTCAGGTCCCGGTGGATGAAGGTGAGGGTGAGCTGCACGAGCACGGACGGTACGAGCGTGAAGAGGAGCGTGAGCCCCTGCCAGATCTGGTCTCCGGCGGAGCGGTACGTGGAGCTGAGGTACAGCGCTGCCGTGGTCTCGGCCGTGAACAGAGACACCGACACAAAGATGGAACTGGGGAATCGCATCCTCACTCACTCCGCCATTTGGGGAATGCGGCGCGCTGCTTCGCTCAGAGTCTGCACGTCCATAACGAAACCACCGAGTCGTTGGTTGGAGTGTTGGAGGAACGCCGCCGCAGGAGCAGCAGCTTGTCTGCGATATGTGAGGCAGGCGGGACAGGTTCACAGCCAAGTGTTGTCCCGTGGAGAGACTGCTGGGGGCGCAAGAAGCGCTGCGCTTTCCAGTGCGCACTGAAGCGCCAGTCAACGAGACGATAACGCCCCGAAGACTGATGTTATAATG